AGCCCCGTGTGCTGGAGTGTGGCTGTCTCACAGCTCTGCTGCCCTGCCCGTCCCAGTGCCTGCTGCCCACTGCTGCCAAGCGATTTGGACAAGGCAGTGAAGGGTCCGGATGGGGATGTGGGTGGGGAGGCCCCAAACGCCTGCTCAAACCCCGGGGATTCAGGGAGGGTCACAGGAGCTTGGAAGCTTTTTGGGTGGGAAACACCTTCGAGATCATCCAGTCCAGCTGTCCCCCAGCACTGCCAGGTCCCCACTGCCCCGTGTCCCTCACACCACATCTCCACGGTTTGGGAACCCCTCCAGGACTCCACCACTGCCCTGGGCAGCCTGGCACAGCCCTGGGCAACCCTCAAGGGCAAGAAATTGTTCCTCAGGTTCAACCTCAACCTGTCCTGGCACAACCTGAGGCCATTTCCTCTTGTGCTGTCCCTTGTTCCTTGGGAGCAGAGCCCGACCCCCCCCTGGCTCCAGGCTCCTGTCAGGAGCTGTGCAGAGCCAGAAGGTCTCCCCTGATCCTCCTTTGCTCCAGGCTCAGCACCCCCAGCTCCCTCAGCTGCTCCTCCCCACACTTGGGCTCTAGACCCCTCTCCAGTTGCCCATGAGCACCAAATGGCTGATGGTTGGTGCTCTCCTCCCTCTCTTGGTGCCCAGGCTGGTTCGCAGCTCATCCGACTGACACTCCAGGGCCAGCAAGACCCACTGAGGAACCAGACAGCACTGGTGGACGAGTCCAGGAACACCGTGACCTACTACATAACCTCACAGAGTAACCACACTGCCGTGGTGCTGTATGACAGCCAGAACGTAAGTGTGTGGGGGTAATTACCTGCCTCGTTAGCCTGGAAGTGAATGGAGGATCCCAGGCTGCTGAGAGAAGAGTTGCTGGGGTGTAGATCAGGAAAAACCTCCACCAGCTACTGCTCGCTGTGTTTCTCCACGCCTTTAGTTAGGAAAGATAACGGCAAAAGGAGGAATATCCATTTTGGGGCTCGTAAGGCAGCTGGGGGGGCATGGCACTGCCCACTCTCACAGGGCATGTCTGTCTCACAGGGCTACGTGTGCTACAGGCCCATGGAGCAGGACGTGTGCTACCTGCGGAGGATGGACGCCTGGGACCTCCAGACCCCCCCCAGCCCCTCTGAGCAGAGGGTGAGTAGCTGCTGCGGCTGTTCCCCAGGAGATTTTTGCTCGCCCAGGGCCCCTTCCTGTGGGGATTGGCTCCGTGGTGCCTGTGAGCCCCCAGCCTGCCAGGACAGGGACAGGGACAGGCTGTCCTGGCCGGGGGGCAGTGCTCGGGGTTGGGCTCTGAGCCCCCGGCCTGCCAGGCGTGGCTGGGGGGGGACGGGGAGAGGATGGGGCTGTCCGGTCCAGGGGGCAGTGCTCGGGGTTGGGGTCACCCCGGAGCAGAGCTCTGCCCTGTGCCAGGCTCGGAGCAGCAGCTCCTGGTTTTACCCCTGTCCCTGCTGCCCTGAGGAGCAGCAGTGGCAGGTTGGGGCTGGGGGCTGTGTCCCACCAGTGGGAGCAGCATGGCTCACTGGATTCTGTTACCTGCTCAAAAATCAGGGGAACAACGCACAAAGGGTGTTTGTTAGCAATTCACAGGGGAAAAAGTTGGAGTAAATCATCTCTGCAGACCCTCAACAAGATGTTAATGGATGTGGGGGCAGGGGGGCAGATTCTGTTTCAAGACGACGGGAGGCCCCATTTTTTTGTGCCCCTGCCACCTGCTCTCCGTTTCCTTGGGGGCTCCTGAGGGCTCCTTGTCCCTCACCCACTGCTCCCACCCAGCTGAGAAGTGATGGACAAGGTTTAACCCAGGGGACAGTAGGAACACAGCACCCACGACAGCAGGCTACCAAAGGGGCCACCAGAAGAAAGCCTCTGCCCAGAGCCCCGGCCAACCTCCCCTGGGATGGTTCCAGGGATGGGGCAGCGACCACCTCTCTGGGCAACCTGGGCCAGGGGCTCACACCACCCTCAGTGTAAAAAATGTCTTCATTCTATGTAATCTAAATCTCCCTTTTAGTTTAAAACCATCAGCCCTGGTCCTGTCACAACAGGCCCTGCTCAAAAGTCTGTCCCCAGGTTTCTGAAAGTACTTGAAGTCCTGGCAGGCCCCCAGAAGGTCTCCCTGGAGCCTTCTCCTCTCCAGGCTGCCCCAGCCCAGCTCTGCCAGCCTGGCCTCCCAGCAGAGGGGTTCCCCCCTTGGGTCACTGTGGTCGGTCAGAGCGAGCACAGGGCTGTGGGGCTGGAGGGCAGTGCCCGGGGGGGCTGAGTGCCCGGGGAGGCATCAGCAGGGACGTTTCTTTCAGGCTGATCAGCTGTTACACCAGAACAACCAGACCCAGTACTACCGGGAGTTCCTGGGCATCCTGTCGGGGGAAGAGGTGGACCCCAGAGGCCTGGGGGAGGCTGTGCAGACCCTGTGTGAGCAGACAGCCATCTTCTGGGTCAGGAGAGGGGAGGGTAAGTTGGACGTGTCCCTCTGCAGAAGGAGGGAGGCAAGATTATTCAAATGCCCCTAAGAGGAGCAGGCTTTGCTGTGCAACAGCTGATGCACGTCCCAGGACAGGCTGCCAGGGCCTGGGAGAGGGACAAGTGGCCTCCAGTTCAGTATCCCACTATCATTCAGCACTCACTGAGCACTGGCTCATGCCCAGAACCTGCAGTGGCCCGTGGTGCTGTCTGGGAATGGCTCCGGAGCCCCTTCCCCAGGCAGCACATCCAGTCCAAGGGCAGTCCCCTGCCTCACCTCAGCTCAGCATCCTCACCCTCATCTTCACCCTGCTGAGCACTCTCTCTTCTGTCGTGCTCCAGCTTTAGGCAGGCAGGTCATTCCCTGAGGCTTCCCCTGGCTCCCTGGGGCTGCAGCAGCAGCATTCCTCACCCTGCTCCATCCTGGCTGCTTTGGCAGGTCCGGGGAGGCAGCGGCTCATCTACCTTTGCATCGACATCTGTTTTCCAAGCAACATTTGTGTCTCTGTCTGCTTCTATTACCTCCCCGAGTAAGCCCTGCAGCTGCAGACGCCCTCTTGCCACCCTACATACTTGAACTGGATTCCTGAAAAGCCTCTGATTTCAAGAAGGAAGGGAACAGCTCCACTACCCCGACAGCTCCCTGCTGATTTCGTGCTGCAGTTCAGGAGAGTGTAGGAAAATAACAGGACTCTGCTCAACACTGCCAGTACAGACACTTTATTTGCAGCTCTGCTCCAGGGCTGCACCTCGTAGGTAGGTATTAGGAGACCCAGGCCTGGAGGACTCGTGTGCAGGAGCTCGTGTTCTGGCTACATGCCCTGTTCAACACAGGGTTATTCAGTTTTGGGGGGGTGATTGGCTTTGTAAGGGTGCAGCTCTCCAGCCGAGTCTGTGACATACACTTCGAATAAAGGGATTGCAAATCACCCTTTCATCTCTTGGCTCAGCCTCTTCCATCGTTTAGAAAGGCTGATTTCTTTCTTTTTTTTACCCACTTTGGGGTACAAGACCATCACAAAGCTGTCAGCAGCCACTGGGACTCCTCCAGCCGAACTATACCCGGCTCAGAGCCTGGTCTCAGCCCAGCAGCTGCTCCTGCCAGAGCCACAGCCCTCTCTGTCAGATGAGGGGGTGGCTCCAGGCGTGTTCCTCGGGCTCCAGTGTGCTGTCAGAGGAGGGAGGAGCAGCAGAGATCCTCCCATGCCACAGGTGAGTGCTAGCCCAGCACACTGTCGTTGAAAGCAAGGCAGACCACTGCTTTCTGGTGGCCACTGTATTCCCTCTTGATCTCTCCTGTCTCCACGCACCACAGCCTGGCCAGGTTGTCAGAGGAGGCTGGAACAGAAAGTGGAGAGATGTGTTACATCACCCTGGAGGGGACAGTTTATTACAAGAAAGAGTTTTCATTCAGCAGGGTTGTTAGGGCTGTGGACGGCAGCAAGGGAGCTGTGCAGAGCAAGAAGCTCAGTGTGTTTCTGTATTGGGTGACGCTTTTAATGATTTTGGAGAGAAGTTACTGTGGAATTCACAACCTGTATGTTTTGAAGGGACTCTGCTGCTGCAGCCTGCGAGCAGCATTGCTGCACGGGGGAATAAACCACACGGGTGGAGCTTGTCCCACCACTCCAGAGAGCTGTCCTGCTGCAGCCCAGAACTGCTCGAGGGGAAGGCAGAGTGTGTTGTGGGTGTGAGGCTGGCCACGCTCTCCTCGCTGCTGCACGAGGCTTTGGCAACGTCCCAGCTAGAGAACCTGGCTGTGCCCTGCTGCGGGGGGCTGGCACGGTGCCCCTCCAGGGGCCTCACCTGTGACAATGTACTGGGAGTCCCCCGAGAAGGCACAGTCCCACATCCAGCCCCGAGACGTCTCCCCGGGGTTGTTGCTCTTAATGCTCAGCTCTGTCATCAGAGAGAAGTTTGAAGTCCTCCAGATCTTGCAGGTCTGATCTGCAGAACACGTAGCCAAGAGCCTGCGAGGGAGACGGGGGCAAAGGCAGCTTGTTACTCACACTGTACCCCCAAGGGTAACGAACTGGAGACCTGCATTGGCTGAAATAGATTTCTCTACACCAGTATTATCTGCCTGATGAGATGGAAGCCAAACAGACTGGGTGAAGGAGTGCACCAGGCTCACCACTTTGCTCCCAGAGATCAGGAATTTGATCCCAGCTGTAAGACCAGCCTGAGGCTGCGGAACTCGCCGAGACCACGGAGCATGAGGCTGGGATGCCACTGACAGCACCTTGGGTCCTGTGCCTCAAATCCTGGGTTCAGGTTTGGGCCCCTCACTCCAAGATGGACATTGAGGGGCTGAAGAACGTCCAGAGAAGGACAATGAAGCTGGGGAAGGGTCTAAAGCCCATGTCTGGTGAGGAGCTGCTAAGGGACCTGTGGGTGCTGAGCCTGGAGCCAGGGGGGGGTCGGGCTCTTCCCCCAAGGAACAAGGGACAGGACAAGAGGCAATGGTCTCAAGTTGCCTCAGGGGAGGTTGAGGTTGGACAGGAGGAACAATTTCTTGCCCTTGAGGGTTGCCCAGGGCTGTGCCAGGCTGCCCAGGGCAGTGGTGGAGTCCCCACCCCTGGAGGGGTTTCCAAGCTGTGGAGATGTGGGGTGAGGGACACGGGGCAGTGGGGACCTGGCAGTGCTGGGGGCTGGTTGGACTCAATGATCTTAAAGATCTTTTCCAACCAAAACATTTCTACGATTCCTGTCCCCCTCCCTCCCACAGCTGGAGGCACAGCTGGCCTCTGCCTGCCCGGAGAGGACCCCTGTCCCAGCACAGCAGGCGGGGGGCTGGCAGGCACTCACGTGGAGTCGGGGCTGAACTTGCACTGGAGGGCGTAGCGGTTGTGCGCGGGGATCTTGGTCTTGGGGATCAGCTGGGTCACCTCCTCCCCGATCCCACCCGTCAGGTTCCACACGTAGCAATTTCCCTGGGGCAAGACAAGGGAAGCTGTGGCCGGGTTGGTGGTCGACACCCAAAAAGAGCCCAGACTTTGCAGGCATGGCCACGGCACAGCGAAGCTGCAGGCACAGCTGGCATGTGCTGGGCACAGCCTGGCAGTGGCTGTTGCAGGGCAGATCCCACCCCACACCCGAGGCACTGGGGGCTCACCGAGCTGTTCACAGCTGCCATGTAACTGGCGTCGGGGTCGATGTGAACCGAATTCACCGAAACCTCAGGCTCTGGAATCAGCTGCTCGTTGTGGTCGGTCTTCAGGTCCCAGATGTGAATGGCCCCGCTCTGGTCGCCCACGATTAGCTCTGCCTGCAAGGAGAGCCCAGCCTCGTGTCTGCGGAGAGCCCCGCGAGCAGCAGCCCCACGCTGAGCCCTGCTCTGGTTCTAAGCACCAGGCTCCTGCTCTGCCTGAGGGACCCTGGGCACAGGGCTGTCCCAGAGCTGTCCCAGAGCTCCAGGAGCCTGCGGACGGCCCGAGCGCCAGCAGAGCGCTGCTCTCACGTTCCCTACTGCAAAAGGGCTCTTTGCCCTTACAGAAGCATTTGCTAATTTTAAAACCCCCCAGAGGAGCCAGCGACTGCCTGGTTTCCAGAACTGCTGCACAGCGAGAGCTCCAGACAACATCCACAGAAGCCAAATGATTTTCAGCACGTCTGAGAAGTGGGCATTAAGATGCGACTTGGCCAGTGAACAACCAAAGCACTCAAGAGTGTACAAATACCTGAAAAACACACACGCCTAAATGGGTTTTTCTCCCTCTCCCCCCCTTCTCAGGGGAAGGACAAGAGCCAGCTGAAGGGCAGGAGTCCTGGCTCCGATCCCGTGCTCAGACCAAAGACAATGCTGGCAGCTCTCCACTAAACCAGGGCTTTTATCGACAGTCTTGCGCTGCTCATAATTTTAGCAGAGTCCCTGGAGGAGCTCAGGTCATTGGGCACAGCTAATCCTGTACCTGTGAGCAAAGGCTTGTTTCTGAGGAAGACAATCATCGCTCGATATATTTAGCTGCCTGCACGGTGCAGAGGCATCTTCTGGATGCCTCAGTCCTCCCCCCTCCTAGCAGGGCAAGTGGAAATCTCCCTCACCCAGGCCACCAGAAATCTCTCAGATAGCTGGATCGGCGTCGCTGCAGCAGGGACCACGCAGCAATGAGGCTGTTTGAGCAACTGCTGCTGCCTCTGGGCTAATTAACCGTGTCCTGCTCACAGACTGACACTCCTGTGGCTCAGCAGCAGCCCGGGTGGCGATTATTTCACATGGAAGATCTATTTGTTTTAACATCATATGTTCTCAAAGCACTGTAGCCAGCTCCACTGCCAGCTCCACTGCCACCACGTCCTTGGGACAGACCCCAGAGGAGTGTCCCAAGGCACGAGGCAGCAGAGGGCAGCCCGGTGTGGGAAGCTGGCTGCTGCCTGTCCAGTGATGCCACCAAGAGCTCTGGTGTCTGGGCCACCCTCCCCAGCCAGGCTCCACGTCTTTTTGCCACCTCTGCCAGTGAAAAGCTTCACACCCTCCATGTTTACCCCGAGGAAGTGCTGCAAGAGCCAGGAACTGGTGGAGGAACGGGGCTCACCTGGTTGGGGTGCAGGCAGACACAGTTAATGGGGGCGTTCACCTGGAAGATCCGCTGGCACTGGAGGTTACGAGACCTGCGACAAAGCAGCGAGGAAGGAGAGGAGAGTGTGTTAAGAGCATGTGTGAGCAGCTCCACCAGCTCTGGGGAGCCGGCGGGGGGTCCCCGCTCACCTCAGGTCCCAGATCCTGGCCATGCAGTCCTCGCCCCCCGTGTACATCCACCGCCCGTCCTCGTGGAAGCCCACGGAGGTGATGTTCTTGCTCACGCCGTCGTAGTTGATGACGGGGTTGGGGTTGTTGGAGTTCAGGTCGTACATGCGGATGTGCTGGTAACCTGCGGCGACAACCGGGCAGGGGGTCACCGACGTGCCCCCCCGCCCGTGCCCGGTGCCTCCGTGCCCGCGCCGGGGGC